AGAAGGCACAGGCGCTGAGCACCAGGGAGATGGCCAAAGTAAGAACTTAAATTGTGTGGAACTGAACTGTAGCTAACTATACGTTGTATAGCACACACATATATATGTAAGCATGTATATGTACATACAACTTTTCACTTTATTGCATTCCACTCTTGCCGGTAGTCGAGTCAATTGAATTGGAAAAGAAAATTATTGAGTTGCCATAAGGTGGAGCGCATAAGCGTCCTATAAAGGGCAACTAAGTGGGCACAACAACAACAAGGTGACATTATTGGCTATTCATTCACAATGTACGCAGGCATATATAGACGTACATACATGTGTATATATGTATGTATTGCATGTGCAGCAATTTGTTGTGAATTTCCAAAGGCAATTTTACAGCGATGGCTATAAAAAGTATGTATGTATGTTAGGCCGGGTCAATTTGTATGGCCGATTTTTGTATACCATGCGCGTATATTGCATGCGGATTTTACGTTTAATTCTTAGCAAATTTTTCGAAGAAACCATGGGTCAAAAATCAATTTGGACTTTGCCAAGTTGCGAAAATAGGTTTTCTAGCCTTTTATGGTAATGTCGTAAACGAGTTCTTAAATTTGGTTTAAAAACATGCTATAACCGGTGTTTTGGTATGAGAAATCCATTTTTGCACTTATCTTTTTCTTAAAACCCCCACCGGAGGACGCAAAAGTGAACGTTTTCACATTTTTATCGAAACTTATTTGGCAATTTGGCAAACTCAAACTGATGTTGGACCCATGGTTTATTGGAAAAATTTGCTTAGAATTACATTTACAGAAATCTTATTATAATATTTATACGCCCGCAGTCAAAAAAAATTTTACGTGCATTAGGGTGGTCCACCAGTAAATTCGGAATTTTAATGCAGCTACCCCCAGGATAGGAATTAAAAAATTTGGGAGTACTAAAAGCGCTCAAAGTTTTACTTGTATTTTATATGGGGAAAAAACAACTTTTCGTAGAATTCTTGAAAAAAAAATATTTTTGATTTATTTAACCTTTTTCTCATGGTAACTATATTTTATAGGTCTGCCATAACCCCCAATTGGGGGACCAATAAAAAATCTTTAGTATTAAAACATGGTTAAATAAACAATTGGATATTAATGTAGGAAGTCTCCTGAAGAGAACCACAGTTATCCAATGGTAAAATATTGATTTTCCAGAATTTTATACCATTTCTACGAAAAGTTGTTTTTTCCCCCATATAAAATACATGGTAAACTTTGAGCGCTTTGAGCACTTCGTAAATATTTTTTGAATTCAAAATGAAAAATTAATGGTATATTTTTACGGTATAGAACAATCCCAGGTGGTGGCGGCATTAAAATTCCGACCGTACTGTTTTTGGGCCACTCTAATGTAACTACCACACAGTCACTGCTCGTTACCGTGCTATGCGAGTGGCAACAACGTGCACAAGCTATGCAAGGTATATGGGAATAGAAATAGCAGAGCGTATGTGGAACAACAATAGCATACGACCGCAATGCACTTAACAGCTTGGAGGTACAAAGCCAAAAAGTTTTGGCCGCCAGTGCGTATGAGCAACTAAATATTAAGCTTCTGAGTACAACTTATGTGTAACTACCCCAATAATTTTTTTCTACTCTCAGTATACTCTCCCTACTGACTAACTAACCATACGTTCAGCCTTCAACCTCAGAAAAAGTTTCCAACGTTGTTTTGATATTTGGTCAAGTAGACTTTCTTCCACCATAAAGTGGCGCAGTAGAGCAATTTGTGAATTGCTTGTGTTTTGTTTCTTTTTTTTTTTCTTTGCCTTGTGCATGGTTAATATGCGGAGTTTTGAAAAGAAGTGAATTAAAAATGATGTTGACCGCACTGCTGTTGTTTCTTTTTCGGCTTTGTTTTTCACTACCCACTACAATTGTCTTAATACATTTTTAATAACTTGAATTGGGGATGGTTTGCGCGATTGGCTTCAGCTGACAACATTGACAGGAACGGGACCGTTAGCCACAATGATTGTTGTGGTATTCATTTTATTTTTAGTTATTACTTTTTCGATAGTTCGTTTATTCGTCTATTTTAGTTACTATCGCCTACGCTGTTACTTTAGTTGCAATCGTGCATCGATTGAGGTTAAAAATCAAGTTGGCGCGCACTAAGTTAGCTCAGTGCGAGAGAGTTTTTCAAAGGTGTTGCGCGATTTTCGTAAAATAATGCAAGGTATGTGGGTTATACTAATCAAGTTGAAAGTTGTTGCAGGAAAGTGAAGTCCTGAATGGCAATGACTAGCCAAAAATGGAGCATTAAACTGGTTCATAAAATAATTTCAAAAATTAAAGAGAATATATCAATAATCAAAGATTCAAACGACGAGGAAATGTATAAAAATAGGTATAAATTTACAACAAATATGTTATTACAGTGAAACCGCGATATAGCAAATCACGAACTAAAAATCAATGTAACAAAACCTCGTTGTTGCGAAACTTTTCATGCACAAAGCTCTCTATATAATTATAACGAAGAAATTATGTGCAGGAAAACCTTCGTAATATATTGAACGGTAAAGTCTCCATCGACTCGAAATCCTTTATATAGCGAAATGTGAATATATCAACGACTAGAGTTCAGTTATAAAAAATCTTTATATAATGAAATCTCAACTCAAGAGCCCCCAAATAACAATTTCTGAACATGTTGACGGTTAGAGACCCGTTATGGAAAAAAAAACAAAACTATGCTTTTATCAAAATTCTACTCTATAAATACATCTAACAAAATTATAGACACAACGAAGCATTTGTCGAACCCCCACTACGTCATATCGATGTTTCACCGTACTTCAGTGCTCTATCCTTACGAATAATTTTATAGATTTCATAAATGAATTTCTATAACTATAATACATGGTGTCCAAAAAATTACACAAAAAAAAATTTACACAGAATACATATGTATGTATGTATTGTTGGATGACGGTCATTTAAGGGCTATTAATTTTGCGTTCTAAAATTGTATTGTTTGATGGCGGTCATTTAAGGGCTATTAATTTTGCGTTCTAAAATTAAAAATAAATTATTTACGAATTCATTTTATTGTAAAGCTTATAGTTTTGCAGCATGTATGATTCTCTACATTATTCGACTGATATTATTGTTTTTATTTATCTAAATTTTTTTAGCTTCGTTTTCTTTTGAATTTTAGAATTCCTTGTTTTAAAATTTATTTTATGATTGTTTTTAAACAAAAGTTTTTTTCTTTTATAATTTATATTGCCTTTAAGTTTTAGATTTAATTTTTAAAATAATATGTGTTGCTTAAATTTTTTTAATTTTTTAATTTTTTTATTTAGTTTCTATATTTTACTATTTTAAAGAGTCCCCTTTTCCCAAGAATGATAGAATCGTGCCCTTTTCCTTTTCCTTCTTTTTTAATACATATAATTTTAATGAACACATTTTATTTTCTCCCTTTTAAATTTTAATTTTCTTTCAAGTTTTTTTATTTTATTGTTTTAAAAAGGAACATTTTTATTTTCTTTCATTTTCAGAAACGTCTCAAGACATAAAACTTAAAAAGTTCCAAAAAAACCGAGGATATCTAGAATTTTTTTTTATCTCCGAAAAATACGAGTAATGAAAAAATTCTAAGAAAAAGATTTTACGACTTAAAAGAAACGCGAAAACTGCAAAGTGCTTTGCAGTCATTTTATAATGCTTAAAGAAATTAAAATGTTTATCAAAATTTTAATTAATTTGTGGTTCCTGCTCTAAATAATAAATTCAAACTTTAAAGACATAAGAAAATATGCAAAAAAGTGGTATAAATATTTTTTACTACTTAGATACAGTATATTTTGCTTTGCTGCCTTTATGCTTAAGTGCACATTTAAGATACCTACCGTAAAATGCGCCTTAGCGGCATTATTTTTAACATTTATCCTCCTCCGATAGGTGCATCCAACATACCTGCACATTGGCGATACCTGCCTTAAAAATTGTGCAACTATTATTAGCTACCAAAGAAAGTATTAGGTTTACCTGCACTGGCCCTACAATTACATAATTTTACAAGCTTTTATTTATTTTGCTCATCTCGAAGAACAACGAAAATGGCTATCAATTAATGTAGTTATATAGATAATTAGATACCATTCGGTAAAAATTTCGCTTGCGGAAAATTCTACGTGGTAAGTGCTCCTCCATTAATTGGTTTCATAGGGATTCGGATACCTTCCTCATTGAAGTAGTAAAGAAAATTCGCTTAAGTGCTTTTTTCGGTTAAGTGCACAAGTTTTTCGTGCAAAGAAGGATGGGCAGCTAAGCAAAATATACTGTATTTATATATATCTTTCCGCTTTCAAAACCAAAAATAACTCCCTCTTTTTCGTGTTCGGTTGCAAGCCTGTATCCTTCCGAGTGACATCGTACACAGTTCCTAGCATACGGCTACTGATACCAACGTTACTTTTTAGTCTACCAAAATGTGTGTTGGTATTTAGTTTTGGCTTTCCGTAGCAGGGTTTTTTTGTGTTCTTATATAAATCAAAAACGCAGGAGACCATTATATAGTAATCTGAATAAAGGTGTTTAATTTACTGATTAGGCAACTAGATTTTCGCACCAGTTTCGTCTTGTCGCAGAATTGAGTATTTTGACGCCAATGAAAGGAGTGACATTTTAGCAACACACGGATCTAACCGAGCGGCTATGTTATCCACCCTTTTGAGAATCTGTTCGCTTGGGACGCTCTTAAGAAGGTGAGCGGCTTTTCAAGTTACCGACCATTGGCGACTGACAAAGAGAAAAAATCAATTAACAAGATTTATGGCATCTCTATAAAAATTTCAGAACTGATCCCGACAAGTTAATAGGGGCTTACTGAAGTGACGGACTTCAGGATTTTCGAGCAGGTGAAGGGAACCGTACAACATTTAATACTTATGCGTAATACCACATAAGATAAATCCTAGACCAGCATTCAATATTAATACATGTTAATTTTTTTTTTTTATTCGTTCATTGCTAAGTATTTATTAAGTTCAAAAGCATTGCCTCAAAATCGAACTTTGATTCTAAATATCGCTAAACCTAATCCTGTCGAGTTAACAATATTCGCTTATTAAGCCACACCCCACTCCGCGCTCCGCCTTGCAACTTCACTCAGAGCACTTTGCATGTATTACGCGCATACAATTCATCTGTTGTACGACATCGGAATGCCTGCTTAAATTTCAATGAGTTACGGAAATATCCATTTAGCAGCTGCTTTTTCTCAACACTCTCCAGTTGCCTACACTCAGTCAGCACTGAGCCGATGAAATAAAGTTTCGCCATGGATAATTGTAAACGACCCGCGGCCAACAAAGTGTCTAAACGACGCACCAAACGCTCATTGTGTTGCTGCCACTGCTCGTATGTCTGCAATGCCAACTGTTGAGCCAGTAACTTCACCAACAACTCATTCAAATTGTAAGGCAACTCTGCCGTACCCGTCTGCTGCTGCTGCTGCTGTTGCTTCACGCACTGCCGCAACGTTGCAAAATCGCGTTCTGATTCCATGCTACGCCAGGCGCCTGACGTTTGTGTCGTACTGCCGCTGGCGATCATTTGCTCGGCGAAGCGTTCGCCCACCAGCACATGACTAAGAGGTGCCGTTAGATTTTGCTGCTGCATTAGCGCGCTGACGGTGACGAAAATGCGCATAAAGTTGCCGGCGATTTGTGTGGTGTCGGCAATTGAAGCGCTGCCGACGCGCGTGACATGGCGCGGATTCTTGCTTTGTTGCGCCAGCATGCGCTGCACTTTCTCGAGATTACGATAGAAATTACGGTTGGTGATTTGCAATTTGGCATAGTCGGCGTCTAAATTGTCATCGCCGTTTAGGGTGAGATGCATGACACGACCCAGAAAGAGATGTGAATTCTGCTGGGACATTTCATCGATCCAAGCGCTGGCAGGCAGTTGGTCGTCATAGGCGCGACCGATGCTCGAATACAGCTGCGCCATTTGCACTTTATCGAGAAAGGCGTGTTCGACAATGTGATGATAGACGGGCTGAAAGAACTGTTGCGCGAGTGCCTGGCAGTCAGCGCTGCTCTTGTCTGCAAACAAATGGAAGGCGGAAAAAGGCAAAAAATTACTACTTTATAAGGGGAGCTACAATTGCTAACTTTCATACAACACACTTACCCATCAAATAATCAATCCAAATCCAATTCAGCAATCGCGTCATTGTTGTTTGCTGCAGAAATTCGAAAACTTTTACCAGCTTGGTCTTCTTATGCACCACAACAGTGTCGCTTTGCTTCAGTGGTTTGCCAAGCGTGCTCTTAAAGTACAAATCCCAATCGATTTGCAGCGTTGTACCAAAAGAAGAAGCCTTAAACTCGCCATATGTGTATTCTGTGTCAACCTCTTTCAACTCGTCCTTCAATATCTCACGTCGATTGCGTTCAAAGTTCAATATCTCCAGAGCAATTAGTCTGCCACGATCCACATCTACGCCATACTCGACCAGCACATCGCCCACCAACTGCTCGAATTTGCGTAACGTGTAGCGCATCACATCTTCCACTTGCAGATAGACAATTCGCTTATTTGACTTAATTTCAACGTGTTGGGTGAAAAAGTAATTTACCCCCGCCTCGTGGAAGGCGCTAACCACATCCATCCATGTCATGGCGCGGCGACGGCGCAACATTGCGGCGGCGCTATCAATCGCCGGCCAACCACCACTTTGTCGATACATAAACGATGCCTTCAGTTCCTCCACCGAGCGCGCACTTTTGCAGGAGTCATAGAATTGCTTTAGCTTTAGCTCAGCATCGAGCAGCTCATCGTTGTTATTGGCACCGAGGAATTTATCAAACTTTTGCTGTTCGCGCTGCAAACGCTCCTCAACTTGCTCCCTTGTGCTGTTTATTGTCTTGCCACAAACATAGCCATAGAAGTCCTGACAAGGACGTTTCTCTGTGTCCAGCCAACGCTCGAGTTCGTAGGATAAACGCAGCACATCAGTCTCTGCATTCACACTAGGTGCGCCGCTGTTGGTTGCTGGTGGGGTCGGTGCTGGTGCTGGCGCTGGCGCTGGCGCGGGTGTGGCATGCACCATTGCAAGTGAAATGCTTAAAGCTAACAGCAGCAAGCCATGCACTTGGCGATGTGTTGATAACATTTTCACACCGGCACGTAGCAGCTGCAGGAATTGATTGGCGAAAATTTCAAAACTTTTCATTTGCAAGTGCCCTTTGCAGCGACACGGGACGACCACAACTGCTGCAACTTTCGGCCGAAAATAAGGAAAAATACCAGTTTTTTCTCCGTTTTTTTTTTGCAAAACTTTCAAATTAAAATACTTTGCATATCTTCTCGCCAGTCACTGTTGATGTGCAACAAAGCTGCAGCGAAAAGAAAATTTAATTTCACGTCGCAATTGTGACCACAGCTGGTGGTACGTATATGTATGTAGATCTAGTGCAAAAAGCGCATAAAAAAGTTGACTGTCATGTGTGTCGTACGCAAAGCACTTGTCTTTATTCGTGGACGTTTTTTGTAGAACTGATGGAAAATTCTTGGTTACACTGTTGCTCTACTTGCCATTTGGCGACGTCAAAGGGTGAACAGTTGTGGCCTCACTACCGAAATCAAGTACGTAGAGAACAAAAGCGTGAAGCAAACAAACTGTGCACGTTTGCAGCTTATGCTGTCGACAGGAGAAAGCGTGGGTTTCGTTTCCGTGTTTAAATGCGCTAAAATAGATTCGTTTTGCGCTTCACGGTCTATTTTCAATCTTTTTTGTCTTTTTTTTTATGGTTTTTTGTCTCCCATCTAAGGTTTGTTTTCCATCGACGTTGCGCTGAAATTTAATTTCCGTCGACTTGTCGCTATATTGCTGCGGCTCAAATGGCACTGAGCATGGTTTAGCTTTATTTTCGCTGCCATGACTTAGGTGTGGTTTGTTTTCGCCTTGGTCCGGCATTGAGCGCTCTTAGCTTAGTCAAGCATGGCAAACATAAGAATATGCTCGTTATTATGATTTCAGAGCTAGGCTTAAGTAA